CTAATAATTTTGATGTATCAAAAACGATACTTCAAACAATGGGCAGTGGCGCAGTAAATGGCCACCGTATACTATATATCTGCCCCAAAATTAATTTAGTACGTATTACTAATCTCGGGTTACTTAAGTTTATCCGATGTTTTTGTGTTGTCTTACGTAGCAATATATTAAAGAATTTAGATTTTACATTCTCATCTGCAACTATAACAGTTAAAAATGCCATTTTCACATCATAGCCATTCAGGTCAATTTTGTGAACACGCAAAAGGAAAACTTGAAGAAATTGTTATAGAAGCCATTAAAAAAAAGTTTTTGGTTTACGGATTGTCTGAACATTGTCCTAGATATAGAGTACAAGATTTATATCCTGAAGAGGTAATTTACATAAAATATTTCTTTTTAAATTATTGATGCAATTCTAATCATTCTTTCTTAAACATTATTCACAAAGTCACATCTTCAACCATCAGACCTGTCCAAAACCTTTTCCGAATTCGTAATAGAAGCACGTCGACTTCAAGACAAATATAAATCACAGATAACTTTATTAGTTGGTTTAGAATCGGAAAATATAACAAGTTCATCGACTACCGAAATTAAAAATTTAATTTCTCAATATAATCTTGATTATTTGGTCGGATCTGTTCATCATGCTCATGAAACACCAATTGATTTTGATTTAGAAACTTTCGAAATTGCACTTTCAAAATCTGCTAATCTTTTTGAAAGTAATGTTAATTCACTCGAAGAAAGTTTATTTGCATCATATTTTGATTCTCAATACCAATTATTAAAAGATCTTAAACCAATGGTGGTTGGCCATTTTGATGTTATTCGAATATTTAGGCCAAACTTTGAATTAACAGATTTTTTGTTTAAGAAAATTGAGAGAAATATAGAGTTCGTTATGGAATATGGCGGATTGTTTGAAATTAATACTGCTGGGTTTAAGAAATTACAATGTGCCTATCCTCAAAGAGATATTCTTAAGGTTTGTAAATTAACAATATCTAATCATTTGGATAGCATCAATAAAATAAGGTAGATTTATTAGAAAAATCTAACTTATTTGATTGATTACAGTTCATTTAGCATTCTTGTAATATTATTTTAATTTTAATTTTTTAAAAAAATCAGTTGATAATAGAAAAAGGTGGAAAATTGACAATTTCTGATGACTGTCATAGTCCTCAATCTGTTGGCATGAATTATCACAAACTTTATGATTATTTAAAAGAATTCAATATCAATGAATTATATTATTTAGATATTGATCTTGAGAAGCCTAAACAGGATAGAAAGGTTGTTGTAAAGGTTATGACAAATGTATTAGATCATAATTTTTGGAATAGAGAATTTTAAATTTTTTTTTTTTTGAAATACATGTAAATAAAAAAAGTAATACTGACTTGAATAAATAAAAATGTTTTAATTCAACTGATTTAATATTGTTAGTAACAATTTTAATTATAAGAACTATATATTAAAAAGTAAAGTTGGATTTCCGAAATTTTTTTTAGCAAAATTTTTTTTAAATAGAACAGTTGATCTTAAAATCTGATTGGTCACGAAATTTTTCCCACCAAAATGTTGCAGTCACGTGAGAACCGAAAATTCTTTAAAGTTCGTTTAGGGTAGGGTCTATGCTAATGTTAAGATTAAAAAAGGTTTAATAGTAAAATCGCTTGAGAAAATTTTTTTGCTAGTTGCACTAAAGGTTGTTTCCTATGTAAATTTTCGAGTTATGAGCGATTTTTGACAAAGGCAACGTTTTCCTGATCGTATAACGTTCCACCTGATCTTGAAATCTGATTTGCTTGCGCCACAAAAAATCACGTGTTTGTAACATTTTGGTGGCGATGCTGGGGTAGTTTATGGACCAATCTTGGATGGGTAATATAAGCTAACTTTCTTGTGATTGGTCAATTTTATTCAATTGAATTTATACAGTATAGAGTACTTTTACAACCCCTGATAGTAAATTTTTTTGTTTTAATAATTAAGAACCAGTTAAACTACTCTCAAAGACTCTTTGCAAAAAAAGCTTTAAGAATCTTGTGTATCTCTAGGATTCATCACATCGAAGTATATCTTATTAAGAAATAGATTTCAGTCTTGAAAAACAACAATGTATAGTAATTATGTGTGCTGAAGCTTTTAATCGGCCCTTAAAGAAGGTTACTGACTTTGTTCTAGAATAGGCTCAACAAAATCAAACTTTACTAGCTTATTTAAAAGTCAACGATATGATATGTTAGTGTTGTTACAATGGAATGGTTGTTCGATCTTCAGCTATGATAAAAAAACATGCTCAATCTGCAGATATTGAAGATTATCCTAATACAGTAGTTAATACTTAGAATGATATTTTGAAGATAATGTTTTTTTTAAATATAATCAAATTGATAACTAAGGTTTTATATCAACATGAAGTTATTCAAAAACTATCAGCATTTCAGACATTTGAAGAATTTCATATTTGCATGAAAGCTAAAGATAGATGTTTGAAAGCTTTTTTTGATAGACTTATATTATTAGCAAATTTGTCACAAAAAAAATATAAATTGTATCCTAAAATTATGTCTCAGTTGTTACTTATTTGTTATATTTCTTGTAGTATATGTAACAAATTTATTATTAATATAAAGCATAATCTAGATCTTTATCTTGATTCTACAAGTATAGAAGATTCAACTATTAATGCTTTAGCAGAACTTGGTATTACATCAACATCTCAAACAGTCTGGTATAAAAAAAAGAAATTTCAGAAAACTATATGAATACAATAAACAACTATTTAGAAAAATATCATAAAACTTCTATAGTTTTAAATGTGAACGACTATTATAATATATATATAAATTGTATCTCAAAGAGTAATGAAATGTCAACATCAACTCACATGACAACAATTCTTCTAAATCCAATAAATGCAATATTACAAATCTATATTAATTTTAATAATACAAGTATTTATAATCCAAAGATCATCAATGCTGATTCTCTAAAGATTGATTTAGAAAATAGATTTATAGCATTATTAGAAATGTCTTTTAATGAATGATGGAATGGTCAGATAAGTGAAAATAAAAAAAAAACTATGAAGGTATTAATGATTCATTGTTATGATCTTCAGCTTAAAGAAAGAATGAACAATCGATCATTAAATAATATTATTCTCATCGATCTTGTAAAAAATAATCTACATTCTATTAACAATAATTTAGAAAGTTTGTTAATTATTAGAAAAGTGAATACTATATAAGAATATTTCGACTCAAATTATATAATACCTTTTGTGGCTGATTGGCCTAGTCAAATATTTTTAAAAAGTGCAATATTATAGGTTTTAATATATAGTGACAAGTCTAATATTTCTCAAGACATATTATTATTCATTTCTGTCATTAGACTGTTCTATATATTCTTAAACAGCTGTGAACTAGTCTATATACAGTATCAACTATTTTTTCTTTATTATATAATAATCTATTTGAGAAAACAAGAGAACTTAGAACTAATATTCAACTCTAGAAGACTAATTTATTTCTTGAGATGACTTATCATAACTGGTTTTGAATTTCAGATATCATTAGAAAAAAATTAACCTATATGAAGATTTTGAATACCTTACATTCAAGGATTTATTAGATAATTTAATTCCACTTATTCTTAATATATATACAATTTTTTTTATACAGGTGAATAGAAAAAATACGAAGAGTCAATAATACAGGTTTAAATATTTTTTTTATGATTTTATTATTATAACTATAATAAGACATTACTAATGTTTTTATCTGATATTTTGTATTAGAGAAATATTAACTATTTAGTTTTAGAAATTTTAAAAGCACATTTGCCAAAATTTTCAGATACTTCTGTTGAATTATTTCACAGTCTTTTGAGATAAATTACTTAAAAACATGATAGTATGAATTACTTATAATGTCAAGTATATTTTATTAATTTTTTAAGATATGAAAAATGTCCCAAAGAGTTATTTGAGCATCAATCTACATGAAAAAAATATCCTTTGAGTCATAGAGATTTAAATAGCTGCATACAAAAACAACGTGTTTTTTATTAAAACATTTTATTAATATTTATAATCAAATTGTTACAGATAGCATAATAAATTTAAATTTGAACAAATCAGAAATATTAACTCAAAAAAAAAAAATTATTAACAGTCTCAATATTTCTATATTAGTTATTGGAATTATTGTAAATATTTGTTACCTTTCTTTAAGCTTTAGTACTTTATAAAAACTTAATTAATCTATCTTATATGATTATTTATTATATACTAAAACAGATATTCATGTATTTACTAATCTTTTATTCCTTAATTTAAAAATACTAATCTGTGGTTACAAATATTATGTTGAATGTTTAAACAAAATTGATCAGAAATGTTTACCTTGTTTGCAATTTTTATAGGATGAGATAAAGATGAATATGGATCAATTACTGAAACATAGGTTGGATTTAAATGATAAAAAAAAAAATAAAAACAAAAAAAAACAGAAAATATTTAGGTTCAAGAAAGTGGAATAAAAGAACTTGAAATAGGAGAACCCAAAAATGAAATAGTTGAAGATAATGAACTTATTGTCTCTTGTAATATTGAAAAAACAGAACTTGATGATTTATTGCAAAGGCTTAAAGAGTTACAATAAATATTTTTTTTGATTTTTTTTTAAAAAAATAAATATTTTAAATAAAAAATTTATTAATTAAATTAAAAATAAAAATTTTTAAATAAAAAATTAAATTATTAAAAATAAAATTTAAATAAAATTTTAAATCAAAAATTTAAATTATTCGAATTATCATTAAATTATTTGAATTTACGATTTATATAATCTGACCAATCATGGCGAATTATTTTAATTTCACTGATCGACCAATCACGAGATAGTTATCCTATATGATCGACAGACCAATTTAACATCTCTACGATAATCTAATGGGTTTGATGCTCGTTAGACCAATCAAAAACAATTAAATAAGGGATTTATATTAAATTTAGTGACTCTAACTTTATCGATTAGCCCATATGTCTGACCTTAAGGCTTTCGTGCAAAAATTCGTTATCTCAATTTATATACAGGTTAGGTTATAATTACTATAACTGAATATAAGACAGTCGTATGGGTTTAAAGCATGCTTTGAACCTTGAAATGGCCTGTTCTAAATACCATAGACACTTGGTTGATCCTGCTACGTAGTAGTCATATGCTTGTCTCAAAAATTAAGCCATACATGTCTAAGTATAAGTTGTTTAGCAGGTGAAATTGCATTAACCGGTTATAGTTTATTTGATAGTACAATTGTTACTTGAATAACCGTGGCAATTCTAGAACTAATACATGCTAAAAGGCTCAACTTCTGGAAGAGACATAATTATTGGATAAAAATCAATAACTTTCGGGTTTCACTTGGTGATTCATGATTACATATGGGTGTCTAAATTATTTATTTAAAAAAAGAAAATTTCGACAAACATTTCGACATTGCTAAATTTCACAAACTATATGTTCTAATATGAATTCAGTAAAAATTTCGACAATTATGAAAATTAATTTCGCCACTATGAAAAATTAATTTCGACATACTGAATGCCGAAATAATTTTTTTTTCAAGAGAAGTAATTTAGACACCCATATATATTCAGGATAACTTTCGAATCTTATGACGATGAATCGTTCAAATTTCTGCCCTATCAACTTTCGATGGAGGCCTACCGTGGTTTTACCGGGTAACGGGAATTCGGGTTCGATTCCGAAGAGGGAGCCTGAGAAATGGCTACCACATTCGAGGAACAATTGGAGAGCAAGTCTAGTGCCAACGCCACTGTGATTCCAGCTCCAATAGTGTATATTAAAGTTGTTGCAGTTAAAAAACTTGTAGTTGAATATTGGGGTTCTATCGTTGGTCGGGCTATTGTCCGTACTGGCATATGGAATTTCTACCCTCTGGGAATCCATTATGTTTCTAATTTAGCGTGGTGGAAACCAGGATCATTGTCTTGAAAAAATTATAATGTTCAAAGCAGGCTTATGTCTGAATACATTTGCATGGAATAATAAAATAGGACGGTGATCCTGTTTTGTTGATTTCTGAATCACCGTGATGATTAATATAGTTAGGGGCATTAGGATTCAATGAAATTCTTGGATTTATTGAAGACTAACTTTTGCGAAAACATTTGTCAAGGATGTTTTCATTAATCAAGAACGAAAGTTAGAGGATCAAAGACGATCAGATACCATCGTAGTCTTAACTATAGACTATGCTACTACCGATTGAACGGCTTTGATTGATGGATGGATCATTTAGAATGATCATTAGAAAATGGCAGAATTCCGTGAATAATCAAATTTTTGAACGCAAATTGTACACCTGCTTGAGGTTAGTTTAAAATATCGTACATCTTCGATTCTGGATTATCCGAGTTCTTAAAGTCGGTTACCTAAGATTAAATATGGTTTATTAGACCGAATTCGAAACTACAACCTGCGCGTTATTACGAGTGGTGATGTATAAAATTAGGAGAATGACCTCAAGTCATGTGAGAGTACCCACTGAACTTAAGCCTATTAATAAGCAGAAGAAAAGTAACTAACAAAGATTCCCCTAGTAACGGCGAATAAAACAGGAAAAACACAAAATTTAAATTTATCTGGTTTGCCGAGTCGAGTTTTAATTTAAGATGCACTTTTTACATCCGGGTTGGGTTAACTCCTTTGATAATAAGGTATCATTGAGGGTGAGAATCCCATGTGTATCAACTGCTGGAACGTTAATACTGTACTTTCTAAGAGTTGAGTTGTTTGAGAACGCAGCTCTAAATGGGGGATAAATTTCTTCTAATGCTAAATATAAGCGAGAAACTGATAGAGAATAAGTGCCATGGGGGAAAGAGCTTTAAAAAGAGTGTTAAATAGTACATGAGATTGTTGAAAAGGAAACAGTTGAAGTCAATCATGTCGGCGAGAATCAACTTAGGGGAGACTTTGAGTGCACTTCTTCACTTGGAAGGTCAATTTTGGATGTCATAAATGACTGGGAAGGTAGTTCTTTCTGGGATCGAGGATCGCAACGGATACCCTTTGGGCTAGCAGCTAGGTTTCTAACACGATGGGATGTTGGGTTATGGATAGCATGCTGAATGTGATCTGATTTTCGGTTAAAGATAATGGTAATGGGAACTAAATCCAGACGTGACATTCAGGTAGACCAGGATCATGAGAACGATAGACGCGAACCACAGCAGTATTCAGATTCAACCTACAATTATTATCGAAGTGGCGGAAGTTCTGGCTCTAAGTAGTACATAGTACGTCAAAAGTGAAAAAATAAACCCTAAATGTATCACTTTTACTTCGGATCTACACGAAATAATAATAATTGCGTCGTACCGTTCATTTATAAAATCCGTACATCTTCCGAAGCTTGAATATCAAAAGAAATACGATTTATTGTGCGTAAAATATTTCTAAGTTTCTTGTTAATATTTTTGTGACCCCTACCTTTATCGCTGAAGCCATATGGTAAGATTAATTAATTTTACGTCTAAAATTACTAAAAGTGATATATTGATATTGAATTTTTTTTACATTCTATTAAATTTTAAGATCGAAACGATCCTAGTACTTGGAGTTCGCATGAACTCAAAGAATGGTTATCAGACAAACGTATATCTTACAAAGGCATTCCAGAAAAGCAAGAGTTGGTCACTTTAGTCAATGTTTATAAGTCTGAAGTATCAAAGACAACTAAAGATTCTATATAAGATTTTGTAAATCAATATCATGGATTCTTAAAGTGGGTGAATAACAATTATTGATTTTTTTACTGCGGCACAAACCTTACTTTCCTAATACCGGGAACGTTAGGGTTATCATCAATTTCTTTAACAATGTAATAAACTTTGCCTAATTTAACAAAACATAGAAGATATTAAAATCTGTAAAACAAAGGTTATTATTGAAAAGAACAAAATAAAAGCTATTGATTTAAAAAAAATATGGTATAAAAAAATTGTACCTTTGTAACGTAGATTAAAAAAATATTAATTTTATGTATCAAAATGTCACCATCTAAATATGCATGCAACCAACATCAATTTTCAAAAAATAAAACTCAAGTTAAAAATACTGTCAAAAATAGTATAGATAGTAATAAAGCAAGTACACATACAGAAATATATATTTAATACTTAATTGACGGTCTTATAGAATATGCCAGATTCAATACTTATTATATTATATTTATAAATATAATTAAGAAACTTGCGCAAATACACTCAACCATAATATGGAGCAATTTATTAAATATAGTTAAAATTATGAATTAAATTTTGTAGTATCATTAATAAATTTTATGAAATATAGAAATAACCCTAAAGCTAACAAGATTTTTTCAAAATATTTGCTGCAAAAGCTTATATTTTATTTGTCATTTTAATAGAAGTCATTAAATATAAAAAAAATCTATTTGAAAAATTGATTATTTACAAAAAAAAAAATAAAACTTTATATAGTAAAATTGAAAAGTCTAAACAAATATGTAAACAACACATCTTTAAGATTTATTCTATAGCTTGTATATAACTAATAAGAAATTAAAATTAACAATTCAAAATTGGTTCATATTAAATAAAGAAACAATTTAATTAGAAATATTAAAATGCTAAAATTAAACAAGTTTAAGTAAGTTAAAAGCATAAACTTTTACTGCTTACTTACAATTTAAAGCATATTGCTTGAAGCATAATTGCTTTTAAATAGTTTTTTTAAAAATTATATTTTAAATTAATAATAATATAATAACTTATATTTCAACTTTTTTTTTCTGCTTTCACTAAGGTCAATGTTAACAGCAGCTACCACCTTTATTGTATTTTTAATTATATATACATAACTTGTATAAAGTGAGTGTGCAATTAGTTATATATACAACTTTTGATAACCTATTTAAGTAGTTCACCTGCAGATTTTACATTAATATTACTACTATTTTTATTAATACTATTAATCCAAAAAATTTAAAAACTTAAAAAAGTTTTTTAAAATATTATTATTAATTCAAAAACAAACCTATGCCTTAAACATATATTACTTTACAGAATATATACAAATCTATAAATAAAGATAATCAAGCTGCTAGAAAAAATTATAAACGATTATTAAATATTAATTTTAATACTTTTGTTAAAGTAGAAAATAAGGCAAAATATATTAAAAATTTTTTTATAAAAGAATTTGTTTATTTTATATCTATTTTAAGATCTAATTTGTACAAATTAAAAATAGATAATCTTGTTAAATATATTAAATATTTAAAATTTTTTACTAATATTAATATAGAACATAATGTAACTTTTGATATAAAATATAATATAGTTACTGATATAGAATATAATATAACTGTTAATATAGAATTTGATGTAGCTGCCAATATAGAACATAATATAAATATAATATAATATAAATAGAACATAATATAGAATGTAAATAAAAATTAGATTTTTTAGTATTAAAATTTTAATCAAAGTTATTAAAATTATTAAATAATATTGAATATTATATTAATATAAAATTTAGTAACAATAGTACTAGTATTAACAATATTAATATATATGTTAATAATGTTAATATAAATGCTAATATCGGGGTATAGCAATCTAGTGAAATGAATAGGTTGTCAACTCTCAAGTGGCAGATCTAAGGTTCAATTTCCACAGATGATAAATTTTAGAAATTATATTTGTGTTATGATAACTGTCTCTTGCTGATTGGTTGAGTTTTGGACATCTGTAATCTTAGGTACACCAAGTCAGGCCCTACTTGACATTGGAAGCTTAGAGCATCTATATGAAGTATAATATTACATATACATAGAGAAATATAAAAAACTAGTGTCAAATAAGGCTTCAGTGCAAACTTATAATAAGACCACTGGGCATAGAAGACTAAAAAACTAAGGAGACAGAAACTCACTTAAAAATCCCGAGTAAAGAGGTAGCACAAACTTTCAATAGTGCCATTGAACTGATGGAACTGTCAAATAAACTAAATGACAAGATATGTAAAGAAGTATATAACCAACTAGACTGCCAAAATCATCAGAGAAAAATGATACATAAGTATACTATACTGGGCCATCTGAATTGAAAGTCTAAAAAAGTTTGTTGTTGGTTCTGAGTTGTAACTAGTAAAGAATAATAGAGAAGAAATCAAAAAGATAGATACTAGGGTTTGAATAAACTTTACAAGAGTAATAGCAGTTTAATAAGTAATTCTAATTACAAATGTTGACCTTGGTCATAGTGTCAAATCAGGTTAGTGGTAAAAGAAAATATAGCTCATTCTGATAGGTTTACCTCAAGGATAAAAATAGTCTAAGGATTATAGTCCTATGGTTAAAAGTGAATAGATCTGGATTTGTGATCCAGTAAAATTAATACTAGGATCAGATCAGAGGGTTTAAATAGAACATCTAAGCAGAAGTGTTAGATATAGCAACTAGTAGAGAACCTTTGAACAGACTTCTTAAATAGGTAATATAGAAAAGTTACACATATAGCTAGTTGTACACTTGTCTAATAGTTCATTATAAATACATCTATATAAAACATGTACTCAATATAAGTATTAATAAAAAGTTATGACTAAAGAGGTCACCTTAATACCAAAAAAATAAATAAATAAATAAATGCTAATACCAATATTAATATTAATATTATTATAAATGTTAATATCAATATTAATATAATGTTAGAGTACCAATGTTTGTACTAATAGTATAAACATTAGTACTAATATTAATTTAAATATTTATATTAATATTGGTATTAAAGTTCATATTAACATAAATACTAATATTTTTTTTTTTTGATATTAAAGTGACTTCTTGGATTTTTTAACTTTATTTAACAATGGTAAATGTGGTTCAGTAAACTACTACAGAAAGAGCATATAATTAACTATATATATAACTTTTCTATATTATCTATTTAAGAAGTCTGCTTAAAAGTTTTTTACTAATTACTATACCTAACAACCCTGCTTGAGTATTCTACTTTAAACTCTTTAAACTGCAAACCTGTTAACTTTACTAGATTATACCTGATGCCTAGATTATTATCTCAATTTTAGGACTATTTTATCTTCAAAAGAACCTCTAAAGCCTTCTGTATACATTTTTACAACTGATTCAAGTATTGCTATAGCAAAACTAATACTTGTAATCAGGTCTTAATTATTAAATTGCTATGCTTTTGTAGAGTTCACTTAGATTCTAACATCTACTTTACAGCATACTTCTAGTACTTTAATATATCTTTGTCTTTTTACCAAACTTTTAATTCAAATAACTTATGTAGAACTACAACTAGTCTATCAGTATATTAGGTTAGCTCAATATTTTTTCTTCTAATTTATTCTAACAGTTTAGTTGGTATATTTTTAAAACTTCCAACTCAGAAATTCTTAACTGTTTGGCTACTATGACTGAGTACTATAATCTTAGTATCTGTTTCTCTAGACTAGTCTTTACAGTAAGGCTATCAAAAATTCAGCTATCTCTTTACTCAGGTCTTTCTAAATGAACTTTTTGTTATCCAATTTCAACAGATTTACATAATTACAAAAACTTATCTAATGTTTGTATCATCCAATTGCCAGTTTGCATTTCTTTGTATAATCACAGACCTTATTCAAAAGAACAATGTCACATAACTGTTACATTAATGTCTTATAACATGCCAGTCATGCTGATGTAACTGTTATTACATATATTCTAATATAATTATTAGTTTTTGTTTTTTTTTTGGTATTAAGGTAATATAATTATTAGTAACAGTTGCTGTAATACAAATATTATATAGGTAATTATCTAAATTTTCATCATTAATGAAATTTAAACATTCAACCTACCACTTGAAAAGTTGACAATCTGATTACTTTACTAGGTTACTATACTTTATCAGTACTAATATTAATATAAACATTAGTATTAATATTAATATAAATATTTGTATTAATATTTATATTAATATTAGTACTAACATTAATATAAATTATAATATTAATGTTAGTATAAATATTAGTATAAATAAACATGACTTTATCTTTAATATTTAAAAAAAATACTAGTATAAAGATTAGTATTAATATAAATACTAATGTTAATACAAACATTAATACAAATATTAATGCAAATATTAAAAAATATAATTTAATATTAAATATTAATATAATATCAAAAAAATTAATACTTTTTATATTAATACTCTTTATATTAAATAAATATATTTAATATTCTTAAATTACATATATTTAATATTTTTAAATTTTAATAAATAATAAATTTTAATATTTTAATATTAAAAGTATAGTGACTTAGTAAAGTAAATAAGTTGTTATTCTTTAAGTAACAGATTGTAAATTTAAAACTTATTAGTAATAAAATTTGAAAAAATATATCTGTATTATAATAATAACATTTTATCAATTAGTTGAAATAAAATACTTGTAGCTATAATTATACTTATACATATTAAACAAATTTAAACAAATTTCAAATTTCTAAAAAATAATTACTAATTATAAAAATTAAATCAAACAAATAATTCTAAAATATTATAAATAGTTATTTATAGTTATAAGAATATACTTAATTTATTTAAACAATAATTATTAATAAAATTTTTGAGTTATAAATTTGACTAGACCTTTACTTTAAGTAAACTTAAAATAAACAAACTCAAAAAGTCTAATTAAATTTATAATTTAAAAATTTTATTAATAATTATTGTTTAAATAAATCAAGTAAAAAAAAAGATCAATGATCTCTCTTTTCTGACTATTATATTTAGAAAAAAAGGTAATTTTAAAAAGACAAAATAAACTATTCAGGGTTTTACTAACTTTAAAAACAGTAGCAGAACAGAGGCTTTTTTTTTGTTTCTAGAAAGTATAAGACTTTTATTTTTGAAATTTACAGAAATAAGAAAACTAAATTGGTAATAAGCTTTTTAACAAAAAAACAACTAACAAAAACTAAAACTAACTTCTTTCTTGAAAAGAATACTATAGTAACAGAAAGCATCTATGATAATTTAACTGCTTTTATGCAAGATGACTCTCTAGATAGTATTAGCTAGAATAAACAAATTACTTTGGAAAATGAAAAAAAACTTTTTAAAGAAAAGAAAGGTCAAAATAGCAACATAGTTATGTTTAGTTCTAAAACACATCTTGAAAAACAAAATAATCATGAAAACAAAACAACATCTCAGATAAAACAAAACAAAATGTCTTCTACAAAATCTAATACAACTAGTATAAACAAAACCAAAAAAGTCTTGAGTAAACTATAGTCAAGCTTATTCACAAAAGTCAAGAGAAGACAATCAACCTTTTCTTTATTCTCACTAAGAAATAATATAAGGTCTAAAAATAATAATGCCCTTATATTAGATATCTATAACCTTAATAGTTTATTAAATAATATCATGATTTTTCTTTATGAGATAGTAGGATGTAACATAATTATTGCTAAGTCACATGTTAATAAAGAATCTTATACTTATTTAAAGCTAATCTTTATTAATGAGAAAAAGCTTAAATACTATATTATGAAAGGAGTTAAATTTTTTAATCATATATACTATAAACATATTCTAATTGACTTTAGAAGATTCTTTTTGCTAGTTAAGATCAGAAATATTTCTTTACATAATAAGGAGTTTATTTCAGAGAGAATTAAAAATACTTGCAAGAACTTTGATAAAATTGTTTTAATTAAGCCACTATTAATAGAAGGTATATCTTATCTAATAGACTAGTAGATCATTACTTTTGAGATCACAGAAAACTCAGACTTAGAAAAAAAAATCTTTTAGTTCTACATTTTGCTTGACAACAAGATTACTACAGAATGGCATGTGGCTTTTAAGTTTTGCTACTTTTGTGACAATAAAGAACATATCAAAAAAGACTACATTCAGTACAAGAAAGCTATTGAACTTTGCTATCAATACAAAAAATTTTTTTTTAATAAAAGAAAAGAAAAACTTTTATCAATAAACTTGAAAAATATAAATACAATTCAGCAAGAACAAAAAACAATCTTATAGAAAAGCTAAATATTGAAGAATCTCAACAGAAAGAAACTTTTCTAAATACTGCTAACAGCAAAAAAAATAATGAAATTAATAGTACTATATTAGCAGAAAAAGATCTCAATAGTTTATTTGATGAAGTCATTGATGGCATTAACAATAAAGC